AGAGGGTTAATGGTCATGTGTGTGGAGTCTACCTAGTCAGGTGATGTAAGCATGTCTTGTAAATAGAAGGTCCCCAACTTGTTATATGAGCCACTGTTGCAGTGTAAGCATGCAGAAGCCAAACACAGAAATATTGGACACAGGTCTTCAGGAAGTAACAGGCCTTTATTCACATTACCGATCGGGTCTCAGATGAACTCCTGTTCCAAAGGATCTGAGAGACCAACACATAGTGTACATTCCTTATATAGCACTATAACTCCTCCCATTAATAGCTACACCCACATATACCTTTAACCAATCAATGAGCAGAATATAGACTTGTACATCTAGTCAAACCACATGGCTCATCCAAGACAAAGGAAATAAGTGCAATTTCAGTTCCTGCATTCCTGCACATGCTCAGTACACTGATGACAGTATCCTAGCTACATGTAGCTAACCAACTGACACAACATACACATATGCCACATGGAGATTTTGGCCTACTAAATTTTAACCATGCTGGAATCCCATCACATTCCCCCCTTTTGATGCCTCTGATATAACATTATTCCAGATGCATCACCAATCACAGTTTTACCTACATCTCTCAAGTAGCCATTGAACCAGAGTAGACCTTGTAAGCATCTTAAAAACTTCTTCAACATTCTTCATCCTGAATATATTCTCTTCGGGCTAGGGGATCATATCTTCCAGACAGCCATTACATGAGCCGCTGTCTTTCTCTCTAGTACTCTCTATAATACTATGTAGGGACCTTACCACTAGTGGAATTAGACAGGGCAGGAGGAGGCACAAAAAAAAATATAATAAATTCTACTCCTCCTACTAATGTCTTAATTCCTCCAAGCTGCTCATACCAACTTCCAAACCAACTACTTAGGTTATACCCATTCCAGACCTGAGTAGGTACATGCTCAAATTTAACCATGTGGCTTGTAAGTTCAGCCACTGCCTGCCCTTCATCATCTATGTGCAGACAACAGTTACTTAGATTAAACTTTCCGCATACACCTCCTTCTACTGCTAGTAAGTAATCAAGGGCTAGCCTATTCTGGTATATGGCTGATCACATCTTGGTATTTTGCTTAGCTAGAAGATTAAGCACTTGAGCTGTCTCATTAGTAATAATCTCAACTACCGCCCGTAGTCTAATAATGCGGTTTAGCATATATAATCGGAGTTCTATATCCATAAGTGCCATCTTCTGCCCAAGTAGCAGGTCCATAATAATTAATAATACGTTGAGGGGGCCACTCATTATCTTCCCAGCTACCTATATTCAAGGATGCTCTCTCCCTTTTATGATTTACATCGTAAACCTTAACTCCCAAGGTCTCTCCTGTTTCGATTGGCAACAAGAAGAAGGATGGCTTTGGCATACCTAATACACATGCCCCTTCCCAATCTTGTGGTAACTCCAAATAAGTTTTCTTACCACAAATCCAGTATAAATTTGCTGGGGCTTTCCAACTAGATGTAGCCGATAAGTCAAACCATACCTCCTTTAAATGAGTGTAATTGGCAAACGGATTAGTAGGTTCCGAGACATTTGAAGCTGACCACCAAGTAGTATTTTTAGTATTAACATTATAGGCTTTTTGTCCCAAGCAAGTTAGCTCACCTACAGACGTGTTATACATTGTCCCTTTCCTGGCTATACAAACATGACCTATAATGGAGGTTTTTAACCACCATTCCAATTTACTTCTAGTACTTACTTGATGATCAGACTGGAAAGGTATCTGTTGTTCATATGTCTCAGAGCCAGGGTACCATATTTCCTTTGCCTCCCATGGCCACTGGTCTCCCATATTAGTACCTCCACACACATAGCAATTAGTTACATTAAGACTACCTGCAATACCCTCAGCCAAATCAATAAATAGGTTGTTAACATTATGGGGAATTTTATCCTCAATACTCATCTCCTCATAGAAGGAATGAGAAACCTGATGAGTTTGAGTTGCCACTGTCTCAGTTTCAAGACCTACATATATTATTGTTCCTGAATCTACTCCTGTGCCATATATTTGGAACCCAAACAGACCTCCAAACCTGTCAATAAAGTACTGCAGATTGGAAATGGTCATGTGAACGGGGTTACACACATAGTTTTACAGTATGGTGTGGTAGGCAACCTTTGGATAATCATATCTTGATCCACTGTTTTTCCCAGGTTGCCCAACCTACACATGACAAATAGGGGCAGAAGTTAGTCTCTATTTGGGCAATCAGGATCAGTAGATCTTTTACTGGGACATAAATATTTATCATTAAACCCATAAGTTCGTTCCCATTTAAGATTACCACATACATTCCAAAGTCTTCCACTACCCGAAATCGCCTTACATGCATCAAATAGTAGAATACCCGTGGAATGTATGGTGCTTATCACAGTCCTATTTATTAATGTCCCCTGGGAGTTACTATTCCGAATTACCAACCAAATTGTACGGGGTTGGAAATGGGGATCAAAACATTTAGACTCTCCTGATATTGGCTTGCACACACTATAATCAATATCCAAATATCTACATTTAGATACAGATCCCTTACATTCATACTGTGAGTGCCAGATGAGAGTTTGGGATATTTGGTTACCTGTTTTAGTAGTCTTAATGCAACTATCGCAATTCGGTATGTCTGTACTCCTACCTTCCTGAAAAATCATAAAAATACTAAGACACAATAAAACACATTATTCCTGAAATCCTCATTTTTCTTCGACCGTGCGATGGCCTCTCAGCTTCCCGATTGTGAGGGCTGCAAGGATGTTGTTCTTCTGATCCTCACTTTCCTTCACAGAGATCCCTTCAAGATACTCTGGCTATGACACGTAGGCAGGTGGTCAGGCTTTATTATGGCCGTCAAAACACCTACTTGATGATCTTTGTAGACTTTTAATTAGAATGTCTCGATATCCCCTCGTCACTCCGACTAAGTTGCACGCTTCAACCGGGTCCTGCAAGGATTCTCAGGATCTGGAGTAGCTTGCCAAGAGTCTGCTGCTGGTTTAACCTTAGAATGATGAATCCAAGGAGTCACTTCCGCCACCTTTACAGCTGTTGGGGTAGATAAAAGAACAACATACAAAGGCTAACAGGATACACCCCGAGCTTTAACTCAATATGTATTGGTGGGATATTACGAGCAAGTCCTGGAGGATTATTTTCTTCCCATACTCCTGGAATGTCAAGTAAGGATTCATCACTCTTAGGGTTAACACTTGTCACTATGGAATAGAAGCGTCATTCTTCTTCCCTTGGCACCGATATCACCATTATGCCTGGTAATCCCTTAAACTTCAGAGATGTTAATCCATTAGGTAAAAGGTTATCTGAGCTTAAAGCTTCGATAATAGATCTCATCCTAAAAGTTGAATCGGACACTCTGGCATATATAGGAACTAATGCTTCACCACATGGCCTCCCAGAATACAAGTGCGACTCTTAAGAACCGGTCTAGCTGCAATTCTCCCAGTAGCTCCTATCACAGTTATAGTCTTCCCCGAAGGCAGAGCCACCATCTTAGTCACCACAGAATGTTCAGCACCTGTGTCGATCATGAAAGAACTTCTCTTTCCCCCTATTGCTACATCGACCATAGGCTCCTCTCGACCAAGTGGGATGGAGCCCAGTCGGTATCAATAGTCTTCCATGATAGTGTCAGCCAGACCCACAAAATCTCTATCCTCTCTTTCTCTAGGTCTCTGCATGGGTGGATAGTATCTGTCTCCGTGAACACTTCCTCTACTATTCCCACCATTCCCTCTAAAACTTCCTCTTACTCTATAACTACCACTATAACCTCCTCGTACCCTTCTCTCTCCTTGTCTATCACCTTCATACTGCTCTCTCTGTGGACACTCACTCTTCCAATGTCCCTCCTTTCTACAATACGCACATTAATTCCTACTTAAAGTCCCTTGCTCAGCCTATTCTCGTCTCCTCTATTCACTTCCCTGTCTTTCTACACTTAAGATAGCTACCGCTAGCATATCTTCCTTTTTCCTCATTTTACGTTCTTCCTCCGTCTCCCTATTCATATATACTGTATTTGCAATCTCCATTAGCTGTATTATGGACATCCCTACAAATCCCTCTAATTTCTGTAATTTCCTTTTACTATCACCTTGGGCCTGGCTGACAAATGCTGAGTCTATCATTCGGAAGTTTTCAGGATTGAAAGGAGTGTACAATCTATTTGACTCAAGCAGTGTCTAATATGGGACTTCGGCAAGGCTGCCCAATAATAGGTTCCAGTCTAGGAGTAGTAAGATAATTTTATTAGTCAGCATTTGGTGGATGAAAAAACGTTTTGTTTTTTTTAAAGTGTTAAACCAAAAACCTACCAGTAGGTGTCACCAGAGGGTAATTGTATCAAAATAATCTTTATGGGTCTAATAAGAAAACTCAACTTTTAATATATTTATACATAAAATAAAACCTTATAGCAATAAATATATTAAAATAGGGTAAGCAATCCTACATCTATCTGTTATAAACAATGTATTATCAATGTAACTCCCGAAGATGGCCAGTAGGTGGCTTAGAGTGCCTCCCTAAAGTCAAATGAAACAAATAGACTTTAATTAATTATGTCCTATTTTATTATTACTTATTTTAATCAATGTCCACCCTGCTAGCTAGGCTTGATTAAATCTTTAGTTCTAAGGTAAATTAAACATTTCAGTTTGTAGTTTAGTAAAAGGGGACATTTTGGACAAAGCTGGGAGGGGCCCATCCAGTAACTAAAAAAACCAATATACCATCTGATACCATTGATCATTGATTAGGGGGAGGGGTAGTACAGAAATACAAGAGTTTGAAACACAGGAACAGATAGGTATGTGGGTAGGCGGGGACAGTAGAGCAGGGGGAGTGCAAATACTGACTATATACCAGTTTTGGGAGTAAGAAATGGGCGTGGCTACTCTGGCTCTGGAGGATGTTTGGGGGGTTGGTAATCAGATGCCAGGGGGGGAGGGGATGTCCAAAGCAGTTGTAATTAAGTCCTTAGTTCTGACCACCATATGGCTACATTGTTTCCCATATGACACAGTTTAATTCACCAAGGCAGTTTTTCAACAATCAGTTTCCAACAGTCAATTTATAGAAACTGATCATAGAATTCCAGCCTACTAGTTACAGCCACATGTACACCCTGCACTAAATTTAAGTGAAGACTGCTACATGGAGGCCATGCGGCCACCAGGACAGGCTACTCCCTACTTTTTTTTTTTTTTTAAACATACAAGACAAAGCCTTGTGAATCAGAAGATTATTTCAACAGAGCATCTGATTCAAAAAGCTGTACAAATATACACACAGTTTCAACAGTCACACCAATCTCCTTATCACCAGCAACACATTGCGCAGTCACTAGGCCCAAACACACACACAGGATCCTCACATGCTCAACAATATCACGACGTCGCACACACGAAATTAAATCAAAAACCCACCAAAGACTATACACTCATCAATGTAACTATTATTCAAACCATACAACTATCCGCGCTATTAATCCATATAAACTAACCGATCACATAACATTTCAACAGATTTCATCTCTACAATTATCTGTACTATAAATCAACTCTTGACTAACCAACTATATCACATTCTAGTAACCTCATCTTTACAGTCAGTGGTTATGGTACAGTTAGTAAGTGGTTATAATACATTTTTAAAGTCACAGATCAGTTAGTAACAGTTATGGTATTATACATATAACATAAAACAGCAATTGTTAGTAATTTTTACACAATGTCAGTGGTTATGGTACATGTCAGTAGTTATGGTACCGTGCGCTATTTTACAGTTATACACACAATTTACACTCCCACTAGACAGCAGAGCTCTAACTTTCTAGTAGGACATACAAGTTAACCAATTCACCAACTACAATATATTTAACAACATTTACAATAATCCCAACTATTCTAACTGGCCAGCACCTCGAGAGCTTTCGATCTATTTATACACCAGAGATTCGATAAGTTCTTCGCTGCCCAGACACCACATATAGCGAACTAGAGGGCAGAATTTACACAGTACCCAGCTAGTCTATTAAACTATCAATAAGCTAGTGGCTGGATTTACAACAGAGCACACTTAGTTAAGATAGGGTGAAATCTAGCAAACTATAATATACAACAGAGTATGCTAGTCTCCCGGTCCCCCCGACCTAGCGAACAAAATTTACACCCTAGATACGCTAGTCAAGACAGGACACCGGTGTCCGACATGAGCTATTTACACCAGAACTCAGTCTGACCCAAACCACCTATATTAGACGGGCTGACTACAGAGCGTCTAATTTCCAGATAAGTGTTGCGCTTTCACTTCTTCCATCCATAAGGACAGGGCAGATTCCAATAACCGGTTCCAAATATAAAACCCCTTGTGGGTCTACCGCTCTAACGGTATCAATCTCACCTGTTAATTACTGAACCTGGGTTCACTCATAGACGGAACAATCCGGGACTCACTGCGCAGAAGCCGATGATCTCCTGGACAAAAGGCCAGTGGCGCCGAGACGAAAGGAGGTCCACGCAGTAGAAGTCCAGGATTGTAGCGTAGAAGGTTTGGTAAAAGTTTACCGTCTCAAATCTCTGTGCCAGCTTCCGTGCGATGAGGTTCCCGGCCCAATTGCACCAGAAATGTTGCAGTGTAAGCATGCAGAAGCCAAACACAGAAATATTGGACACAGGTCTTCAGGAAGTAACAGGCCTTTATTCACATTACCGATCGGGTCTCAGATGAACTCCTGTTCCAAAGGATCTGAGAGACCAACACATAGTGTACATTCCTTATATAGCACTATAACTCCTCCCATTAATAGCTACACCCACATATACCTTTAACCAATCAATGAGCAGAATATAGACTTGTACATCTAGTCAAACCACATGGCTCATCCAAGACAAAGGAAATAAGTGCAATTTCAGTTCCTGCATTCCTGCACATGCTCAGTACACTGATGACAGTATCCTAGCTACATGTAGCTAACCAACTGACACAACATACACATATGCCACATGGAGATTTTGGCCTACTAAATTTTAACCATGCTGGAATCCCATCACACCACCTCCTTTCCAATACATTCCCATTACGTATTCCCCAGCGTCTCCTGGGCCGGGATGTTCTATGTTTAAGGTTAGCTTCATTGGGGTAGACCCCATTGGCTTGCACAAGGTCATTCTGTATAACAAGGGTTTCCCATATCTGTCAACTCTATCTAAGGCACTTTGTGGTCTGTAGCCCCATGGTCGGCCCATATTCCAACCCGCCGCTTTCCAGGTACTACAGTGATGTCCCCAACGGTCACCTGTCACACAAATATATGGGTCCTTTTTGTATGTCTTTGTATATTGCTGAGTGTTGTGACTGTGGAAAAGTACAAGAGACAATATCACAGTAATCAAAGGTAAACGTAGCTACGTGTGTGTTTGAAGAATTATACCAAAATGTGTAAACATGATTGTCTTTGGTAATAGCAACTTGTTGGGCCTTTAATAGGCCTAGCAGCAGAAAAAGGCACAGGAAGCTCATGATTTGGTGGAATCTGCTTCCTCTGGATCAGGAACTTTCTTGCAGTGTGAGGTGTGTATCCAGGTATTCTTCCCGGCCAACTTTACAGAGGTAGATGTAGTCAATAGGATTTGGAATGGACCATCGAACCTTGGCTCAAGAGTGTGTTTTCTTAGGAACTTCTTGACCATGACCCAGTCACCAGGAAGTAACTTCTGCATGCCTGTATTTGACTCTGGATCTGGAATAGAAGAAAACACCTGTGCATGGATTTTGGTCAAGGCATGAGAGAGTGCAGTTATATAATCTACCATTCTGACTGGAGTTGAAGTTGCTGAGGAAAGTAACAGCCTAACCTGGGTGCTGTCCCAAATAAGATTTTGTAGGGGGATAAGCTAAACCTCCCTCTTGGGGTGTACCTTACACTAAACAGTGCTATGGGAAGACTCTCCGGCCAGGGTAGCTTAGTTTCTTGGGACATTTTAAGCATTCTGGCTTTCAGAGTGCCATTCATGCGTTCTACCTTACCACTACTCTGTGGGTGATAGGGTGTGTGGAATGCAAGGGTCACCCCCAGTGCTGCCCAGATCTTCTTGGTTAGCAACGCGGTGAAGGATGTACCCTGGTCACTTTCAATTACTTCGGGAACTCCGTATCTGCAGATGATTTCGGTAAGTAGGCGCTTTGCTGTGGTCTTTGCAGTGAGATTAGCGACCGGAAAAGCTTCTGGCCATCCTGAAAACATATCCACTATGACCAGTGCGTATTCATACCGGCCACTCTTTGGCATTTGGATATTATAAATTTGGATTCTTTGGAAAGGGTACTGTGGTTTGGTGCAGCTTTGATTATTTTCCCTGGATTACATCTGGCACAGATGGTGCAGGATCTGCAGTAATTTCGTGTCAAGGTGGTGATTCTGGGTGCTTCAAAATATTTATCAATCAAAGAATTCATGAGGTGCTTAGATAAGTGAGCTGGTCCATGGGCCCACTGAACGACAGCTGGATAGATATTCTTGGGTAGGCAGAATTTGAGATTGATTGTATATACGTCATTCTGGAGGGTTGCTCCTTTGTCTTTTCAGCTTTGCTTTTCTTGTGGGGTGGCAGCGGCCTGTTATTCTCTTAGGAGCTTGAGATCGGCGGGTAGGAGTCTTTTCGACGGACACTCTTCTGCCCACTTCCTGACACTGGCGTGCCGCATCCTTAGCGGCCTGGTCGGCTAAATGGTTGCCATGTGCTTCTAAATTTAGTCTTCCGTGCGCCTTTACCTTCAGTATGGCCACCTCTTCAGGAAGTAGTAAGGCATCCATCAATTCTTTGATAGCTGTGCCATGTTTCACAGGAGTACCTGTTGCTGTAAGGAACCCCCTGGTTTTCCAGATTAAGCCAAAGTCTTATGCCACGCCCAGGGCATACCTTGAGTCTGTGTAAATATTAACACGCTTCCCTTCAGACAGCTTGCATGCCACTGTAAGGACTATTAGTTTGGCTTCTTGTGCTGACTTAGATGATGGGAGTGCAGATGCTTGGAGTATTTGGTCCTCTGTGATGACTGCACATCCAGTATGATATTGTCCCTGCGCATCTGCAAATCTAGAATCATCCACAACCAGAGTGTAGTCAGGGTCAGGCAGAGCAGCCTCGTGCACTGTTGGGAGATGGGTTGTTTCCATTTTCATCTGTTCAAAGCAATCATGAGGGGCGTCCGGGTCTTGTTCTGTGGGAGGTAACCGACAGTTTTGCAATTTATGGTCCTTTTAGTGACCCCCGTCACTTTGAGTTGTTCTTGAGTTGCAGTACTCCATGTCTTGGCCATTGGGCCGAGTTCATTCCATGAGAGATCTGGAGACTTTGGAGTCACAGAACAGGTCTGTCAGTGTGATGTGCATTTCCACCAGGCTGAATAATTCTTCTTCATAGTATGGGTCAGGACCTGGGTTGTCCCTGAACCACAGGGTGCAATGTAATTGGGTCTCGGGCTGTTCATCATGTGGAACTGTGGGCTTTTCTACTTGAAGTTCCATGTGAACATCAGGATTTATGTCCAGGCTGTACCAGTATTGCGGCACTCCCCCCTTGGGAAGTGGCAGAAGAGTGGCCGGATTCAAGGAGTAACATCTTTGTAAAGAAACATTATCAGGCAAGAGGAGGGAGGTTTGAAGGCGGAGATGTCTTTGACATGAAAGATGCTTTGGCTGGACTTGATTCAGGATTGCAGCGATATCATGGGGAGCAAGAACCGTCAGTTTATGACCGAGAACAAAGTCATTCGTTTTGTCCAGTAGGGCACTTGCAGCAAAAACCGCACGCAAACAGGAAGGACCACCCCTGGCCACGGGGTCTAGCATGCAGGAAAAGTACCCAATAGGCTGCTGACGGGAACCGTGGATTGAGTAAGGACCCCTGAAGCATGGCCCATCTTCTCTGAGACGAAAAGTTTGAATGGTAGTTGGTAGTTAGGTAGGCCCAAAGCAGGGGCAGAGGAGATGGCTCTTTGAAGAGCATGGTAACAGGTGCGGGCTGTAGAGGACAATGAAAAAAGTTCAGTCTTTAAAGCATCATAGAGAGGTTGCATGAGTTGAGAAGCCTCAGGGATCCAAGACCAAGAAGGCATGAAGGGCCTGATGGTAAATGTAAGGGAGAGATTTGTAATGGCAAGTA